TGAATTTTTATGATGAGCAAACATGTAATTAGAAATATTTCATTTCGAATATAAACCTTTAACTATCATCATTGTTTTTAAATTCAGTATCCGTGGCATCGAGATGGTATGAGTCAAAGATGACCTAGACATTTGTCAATCTTCACCACACAAAAGTGAGGAGAAATATCAATGACACGAAAGGTTAGTCAAATATCGTTGCAGAAAGAAACTTCATTTATCCATTCATAAATGAGAAAAACAGGTCAAACTTATTCTCTCCGATATAATGCAATGATTTTCTGTATTAAGTTGATTTATTAAGAGAAAAAAAGTAGAGTTGCATTAATAACAGTGATGATTGTATGATATTTTTGCTCTATTCAGTAAATACAATTGATAGTTTACAACTCATTCAAACCTATGACACCAATTGTATAAAAGAAATTGCTAGCCTTTTGGCGGTCGGTGACCGTATTTCCAGTCATATGCACTCATTGATTGTTGAAAACTTCATAAAATATCCTTATTCCACAGCATTTTAAAAGGTCGAAACAGTGATTGTTTCGATCATGTCAAGATCATACGTAAAATATAATCTTCGTCGCAGAATGAATAAATATATTGTCTAGATAATTGTAAAATAAACTTCGACATAAATTTTACCTCGTGTATTATATTTGCATGCATGACCAAATGTTTATTATATTTAAGAAACGAACATGACAAAAACAATATTTTTCTTCTGACTCATGCTCAAAAGCCTTCCGGTAATATTTAGAACACCTACACTGTGCTTGTGCTGAAAGAGCACGAAATACGTTTGTCCTCTATATACTTTTAGTGTATTTAAGGTAAGCATAACATGAATTACCATTTATAAATACGTATCAAAATTGATACATTCACTGGCTTCTGCAAGCAAAGAAACAAAACGAATATGCTCTCACCTGCAACGGTAACTTTTTCGTCTGAAAATAAGCTAAGACCAATGGACAGTGCTTTGAACCGAATAGCAACTGTTTTCCCAATCACACCCGAAGCCGTAAAACCAGATCCTAAAATGCGCAATACAGGACCAATTATCAAAGAATTCAGCTTGAATACATCCATGCATGGAATTCCAGGTATTGCACGAAGTGAGAGTATACAGAATCGTCTGTTTTGGACAATTTCATTTATCATCTTCACCGGTATTATGTGTTATTTCATCATTGAAGCCATTCTAGCTTATTTTCAATATCCGACACAAACATCGGTAGATTTTGTTGCACAATGGCCACAACCTTTTCCAGCAGTCACTGTTTGTAACTATTCGCCTCTTCACTTCGACCAATTTATACAGCCTTACCTTAATTACACGAATTCGCTCAATTTAACAAATACGACAGATACAACGAAATTTACAAGAAACCAAGGAGCGTACATAATCGATTTCTTACGAGCAAAACTGAATCGAAATGAGTCGTTGAATGATTTATACTTTTCACTCGAATCAATGTTAGTTAAATGTATTTACAACGGTATCAATTGTACTGCTGCTGATTTTGTCCGATTTCAGTTGCCTCTTTATGGTTACTGCTATACTTTCAATGCTCTAGCTCACTACATTAATAATGGCGAATTACATTATAATAATGAAAATGGTAAAAGTGGTGTATTAGAATTAGGCTTGTACACACATAGTCACCAATATGTTCCATATTTAACAGACGGTACTATCGATCTTTTCTAGTAATAATGTAACGATTACATCTTGTTTATGCAGGTGTAGGAATTGTCACCATGGTCCACAATAATAAACAAATGCCACTCATTGATAGAGTTAATACCTTTTTAGTACCAGGACGAAAATACAAATTTGGCTATAGTAAGAAGACCTATACTCTCCTGCCTACACCGTATACAACGTGCAGTGATACGTCATCACCTGGATTACAAGCTTTGTATGACCAATACACAGGCATTCAATATGATTATTCCCAAGAATTATGTTTTAAGGTTGCCATACAAACATATACGTTTGTATTCTCATTGTAATTTTTTCAAAATACACGTTTATCTTCGTACACTAGGTATGAGCAATGTGGTTGTGTCAGCCCGTATGAGTGGTCTGCACGTTACATTGTCTTGCCAGGCACAACAAACGTTATTTATGCTCAACTATGTAACGTATCTGATGCCTGCTACTCAAAAGCGGCTGATGCATTTCGAAGTTCAGATTCCATCATTGGTCAATATGCCGGTGATTGTGGTTTAGAATGTACTTCTAATGAATTTGTTGTTAAAACATCATCGGTTGCATCACCTACCCCATGGTATATGACAGATGTAAAGAATTTCGTTGAATCTACTACGATTCCACTATCGAAGAATTGGTCACAGACATGGTTTGCTGATATTGAACACAACTATGTTGGTCTTGACGTTGTATGTGAGTCCACTCGAGTGGAAGTTTATACTCAACAAGCTTCTATGAGTGCTGTTGATGTTATTTCTAATGTCGGTGGTCAGACAGGTCTATGGATTGGCATAAGTTTTCTTTCGTTACTGGAAATTGCTGAAATGATCTATCGATTGATTCGACGTCGATGTCAACGTGTACGAAGACTATTCAGTTAAATATCATCCTATTCTCTGGAAACTACATCGTATCAAAACTGCAAATGTTATTACATATTTTTTACATATAAATAAATGAACTGTCGTTTTAACTATATATGTCCTTCATTTTGCATTACTCAAATGTTATTTTGTTTGAAAAAAGTAGATTTACTTTCAGTCCTTACAGGTCAACGTTATATTTCGATCGTGAATGTACATGAACACTTCCAATCAATGATGTCATATACTTGTAAAATCGAAAAGCAAACGTTATATGACTTAGATATTTCATTTCCAAGAAGAAAAGAGATAAAAACCAGGCGCTCCCACTTGATCAGACTACACAAAACATCGAAATATTACATCTGAACAAATTTCCTTTCGTTCTTTGTTGGTTAATGATCGTTGCTTATCAATTAGAATCTTTTGAGAATTCATTCAAAGCAGTACAGTGGTTTGCAACTTATTGAAATCATGAGTTAAAATAAGTAGAGTACTTTTGTAAAGAAATTGATTCTGATGGTTATGTTCGTATAGTAAACATCAACACTGATTAGAAATTTATTGGTTACGTCAAATTTAGTCTTGAACTACAAAAGTTTGATATGAAACGGTATAATTCTACACAATTTAGAGCCGTATTCATATCATATAAAAATACCTCTAGGTGAAAAACTCGCTACGGTATCTTATATTGAATTTTATCTTATCTATCTCTGTTGGTTTGAAAGAATATGTTTGTTTTCATAGCACTGTTGTGATGATATTTGTACGTATTTGTTTTGTGTTGATATTCATTACTTTATTTGCGACGGTTCTTGTGCTTGACAATCATCTGACCGGCAAATCGCCATGGCATAATTTCGAATCCAGTACGAAGCAGCGAATAGATGGAATACCGTTCTGTGAATATGATCGATCGACTAGTCTTCTCCGAGAACGAAGCAATTCGTTATCTGACTTTGCTTTTCTCGCAGTAGGTTTTTACATGCTAGTACAAGCCATCGAAGGTCAGCAGAAAACTCGTGCAAAGAATACGATCTTATCATTGATTAATGGATTGGCAAATTGTGCACATGCCATCGGTTCATGGCTCAATCATGCATGTCGTTGTCAACTTGGACATCGACTTGATCTAACTGGCATGTGGCTCATTATTGCTTTCATTAGTTTTTACAGTTTAATTCGTCATGCGAACATCAAAACATTTCTTTTCACGTTGATTTTCATGGTAAATGGCTTCATCCTGTGGATTATGAGCGATATCTACTATCCACAATCATACGACAACGAGGAAAAAATATTAACCACAATACTAATTGTTATATTTGCCTTATCGGAATGCTTTCATTTACGATCAAAATCAATAACAGCAAAGCAACTGAAATGGTTTGGCTTAGGTGCGCTATCACTCATCATCGGAGTCGTCTCAGGTCAATTGGATGCATCGAAGATTGTCTGCTGGCCGCATTCATGGTTTCAATTACATGCCGTTTGGCATATGTGTGCAGCTTGTTCAGTCCTTGCCATCTACGAATATTTTCGTGCTGATACGTCTTTCATTTCCAAGAAGATCGAGCATTTGACATAAAGTTTCATTAATTCTTCAAAGCAAAAGTCACTCTATGCTTTATTTTCGTTTTCAGACTAATTACCATCTGATTTATGTTCTATGTGTCAACATCTTTTGAGTTTTTGACACGTCATGGAACTATTACATCACGCAAATCACTCCTTCATTATCTAATTTCTACAAACGACCTCTCCAATCACCAGTTAGATGTCATAGAGTTCATTTCATTTTGATAACACGAAGAAACTATCAATACTCGAAGTCAAACACAGAACAGATAAAAAAATCTCGAAGAAAACAAACTACCACAGTATTCAAGCGTAAGACAAAGGATAAGAAATACGCATGAGTAACATACATAAGGGATTAAGAAGTATAATGGGATGTGTACAGAAGGTTGTCTTGATATAAATATTTGTGCGAAATCAAATTCTTTCCACTTTTAGAGAAATAAATTTGTAAATGATTGCAGTGATTAAGTCGAGCTTTTGTATCGTCAACGATCTCGCAGATTTCTGTTAGAAACTCACAAAAAAAGAAAATGTCAAAGAGTGTTTTTATGTCTTGCGTATTGAAAAAAAACGCAAAGAATTACTCCACGTTTTTTATCCTTTCTTTACGAGAGAAAATGAAAAAGAAAAGATTTCTTTTTCTTTCTTCCTCTTTCATCGAATGAGAGTCAATGATAATGGTAGTAGTGATACTGACGCAGTGCGTTGCAGTACAACATAAAGAGAATAAGAGAGAAGGAGAAAATAGCTGACACCATTTATGTACTACAGTGAATGTATCACTTCTCATTCTCTCCGTGAGAATCATCAACCTGTACTTCAGATAATTATCAATGAATACTGAAGTTCATCCAGCAGAAAATATCCATGGGATTGTGCGATCAATGGAAGATGTAGTCGGGTTAACTTTAACCGCAAGTAAGTGATGTCATTGAGTGTAATTGAAGATACATGTTCGATTCAATTCGTTTGAAGATCACATTACACAAAGGCATGTGGAATATTTACCGTATCCCGAACAGACTACAGAAGAACGTCGTATGAGTGATGTGTGCTCGTTGGAACAAATCTACTCACAATGTAACCAAACATTTGCACGTGATCAAACAGTTGAAGTTATTAAACTAGACGCAGAAAGAATATACAATGCTGTTACTGAATTCCTCTATCCGTATTTGTAAGTTTATTTTACGAAAGTAACTGGCAAGTCTTTACCGACTTTTTTTTCGAATCAATGTGTAGGTATAGTATAACTCTTCGTTATGGATCCACATTTGAATGGACGATCAAAAGACGCTATAGACAATTTGCTGAACTTCATAATGCTCTTCGAGATTCTATTAAACTGGAATTTAAAAAATCTCGACTTGATTTAAACAGGTACAATTCGAAGTTATATGCAAAATAGTTTATAGTGGATATTTCAGTTCGCGAACATCTATCAATCGCAAAGATTATCCCTGTTTCCCTACCCAGAACGATCGAATTGGATTTATCAACGAAAGAAATATCAACGAGAGATGTGTACGTTTATTCTCATTGTCTTCTACGAAACATGTTCGTTGATTTTCTAGAGTATGCTACAAAACTATCTCAACAAAGTTCTTGAAAATCCATTCTTTCGTGAACATATTGCTATGGTAAGTTTTGTTCGTCTCTGAAACTTTTGATTAACTACTTCTGTTTTCATAGAGAAAATTCCTTCGAGTTAGTCCACTGACATTTGTTGAAGGCTTAGGAAAAAGTTTTGGAGAAGGAAATCTATCGAAACGATCCAACGATGATCATCGTGGTCGATCAATTCTAATTCGCATTCCGCTTCTATGTGACCCATGTAAAGTTTTCCACGAAGACAAATGGTTTGTTATCAAAGATTCGTATGTTGTATATATGACACTGAACTCCGGTCTTATCGGTTTTCCAATGCTTGCTGATCAAGATTTTTCGCTTGATCGAACTTTTCGAAAAACACGAACGAAACAAGGAATTCGCATAAAAAACTCCCAACGTCAAATGATTGTCAAATGTCAAAGCGAAGACGAGCGAAATCTTTGGTTTGATGGCCTAATGAAAATGAAAGAGAATTCGATCTTTACACAAAATCACCTATTTGATTCATTTGCACCACAACGACAACAACAGTATGCTCAATGGTTTATTAATGGTCAATCGTATATGGAAGCGTTAGCCAAAGCGATCTTATTAGCACGCGAAGAAATTTTTATCAGCGATTGGTGGCTTTCACCTGAAATCATGTTAGTTCGTCCAGCTCAAGATGATTCCATGCGATTGGATCATCTTCTTGGCAAGCGAGCCGTAAGCATTCCCTTAATATATTTTTTTGTAAAGAAGATAAATATAGGAAGAAGGTATTCGTGTCTACGTGTTGATCTTCAAAGATATCGTGAAAGTTGTTGGTTTGAATAGTTTACATACGAAGAGAAAATTATTATCCAGAAGTCCAACGAAGAAGAATATCAAGGTAATTTATCTAGCAAAAATATTCGGACTTGTTTGACGTCCTAGATCAAAGGTTATTCGGCATCCTGATCATCGAATATTACCTGGCACTGAATCGTCATTTCTCTTTTCTCACCATGAGAAAACTGTGATCATCGATCAACGATTAGCTTTTATTGGTGGTATTGATCTTTGTTGGGGACGATGGGATACAGATGACTATCGGTTAGTTTAATATCAAGATGAAAGTTTTCTTTATTTTTTCCTGAGGATAGATTGGTTGATTTGAGTGATGAGAATATCACGGAATTGAAACTTCCAGAAGAAATAGCTAAAGAACCTGAAGAAGAATCACATAAGGAAGAAGCTGCTATTGAAACAGCTGATGAGATGGCGACAAACTCGAATGAGCACCATCTAGTAAGATTTTGAAGAACAAAGAAAATCAAGCATTTACTCTTCAAATTCGTATTTTAAAAGTTATCGGAAATATTCAGCGACACAGATGATACAGAAGATAGAAAAAAACGTCGACATGAACATAGATGGCAACGATTCATTAAAGTAAGTTCTGCTTAGCGTTCATGTCAGATTTGATTGTTGAATTTGAATCCTAGAGAGAAAAAGCGGAAAATACTGATGACGAGGAGAATTCGTCTGATGAAGAAGTCGATGGAGTATCCGATGAACAGCCAAAACCAATTGTTGGCGTTACGCCAGTTGCGGATAGTAAATGTCGGTTCTTTTTGGGCAAGGATTATTCAAACTATTATCAAAAAGATTTTGAGTTCGTCGAAAAATACGATGAAGGTTTCTTCTAATCTTAATTTCAATTTTTTTCATTCTTTTTTCGTCTACCAATAGATTATATCGATCGAAAACTTGCGCCACGCATGCCATGGCATGACGAAGTACTGTCTGTTTCAGGTGAAGCAGCAAGAGATTGTGCCAGACACTTCATTCAACGATGGAATATTCATAAAGTTGTTCTTATTACTCATCGATATGTTTCATATAAAATGAATCGTTTTCGTTACAGGCAGATAAATTTCGTTTCAATGATAAATATCCTTATCTTCTTCCAAAAACCGATGATGATAGTCAACTCGCTGATCCATCTATACTTCAAGCAATTCTGCCAGATGATCGTCTTCCCGTTCGCATCGACGCTCAATGTGTTCGTTCAGCTTCGTTTTGGTCATGTGGAATTGAGAAAGTCGAACGTTCAATTCATACTGCTTATATTCACATGATTGAAAATGCTGAACATTTTATCTACATCGAAGTAAGTCGATTAAAATTTAACGATTTTGCCAAAAGCAACATTTAGAACCAATTTTTTGTCACCATTGCTGAAGATGATACGATAAAGAATGACATCGGTGAAGCACTTTATCAACGTATCATTCGTGCACATATTAATCACGAAAAATTTCGAATTTTTATTCTTTTACCATTGTTACCTGGCTTTGCTAATAGTAATGCTGTTCAAGCTGAGCTTTACTATATTATGAGATCGATCAATAAAGATGATCAATCACTCTATCAAAGATTAAAACGATATGGTTAGTGCACTTGCATACGTTGACATATAATTGAAAGAAAAACTTCTGCGATAGGTATTGTGGAACCTGAACAATATGTGACGTTTAATGGAATGCGAAATTGGGATATATTGATGGGTAGTTTAGTAAGTGAATTGTGTCGAATTTGGGAATTTCATTTGTTTTTCTTGAAGGTAACAGAGATTATTTACGTTCATTCGAAGTTGATGATTGTTGATGATCGAATGTGTATTTGCGGATCGGCGAATATTAACGATCGCTCGTTTCAAGGAACTCGAGATTCAGAAATATGCTTAGTTGTCAATGACATTGAAATGGTTGATTCACATTTGAATGGACGATCGGAGAAAGTCGGAGTGTTCTGCTCTACTTGGCGAAAGAAATTATTCAGGTTTCTACCTTCTTTCTATTTTAATCTTGCATCGTACGTTTTTTTGTATATTTGATTTCTAAGACAGGTGTTAGGTCTAAAAGATGACGACAAGATCAACGTCGACGATCCATGTTCAGATGAATTGTACAACTATTTTTGTCAAATAGCAAAGAAGAACACTGAAATCTATGAAGAAGTTTTCAATACTGTACCAACAAATAAAATACGGCGATTCGCCGATATTGAAGAATATAACAAGCAACCCAAATTGAAAGAAACAGATCCTCATACAGTAGGATTACATAAAACTAATTTGTTTCACTAGAAAAACGAATTTTTTTCTAGGCGCATGATAAATGCAAACAGATTCAAGGTTTTCTCGTCGAATTTCCAATAGATTTTCTCGCTGACGATAATATTAAACCTAAGTGGAATACACAAGAAGGTTTGTTTCGTTCTAATTTATTATCCTTTGATATGTTTTCTATTTTCTGCATAGGCATTGCCCCAATGTCCTTATGGACATGAACATTCGCATCGATCTAGCTCTGCTTTATGAAAATATTATGCATATATGTGATATGAGGAGGTGGTGTTATTGAAAGATTTCGATTGGAACAAAACTTTCATTACTAATCCGGCTAAGCATATCCGGTGATTGTTGTTGTTTTTACAAATATTTTTGTTAATAAAACATAGTTAATTTTGAGACTAACTCAGAAGGAAAGATGGCATACGTAGTGACAGTGTTTACCGCAAGGGAGTCACATAGAGGCGGAGAATTGTAGCATAGGATTTACAAGGCAGACAGACACGGTACCTGGACACTATGATGAAATAAACAAAGGCAAAAAAGATGTGTTTTACAGATTAAAAAACCCGTTTTGACAGCTGATATTATAAAAAGAAATGCAGTGTAATTTTCCAACTTGAAAAGATATGCATGTTGTGAAGAAGTGACACAATATAGTGTTGAAAACTTCAAAGGATGATTCTATAGAACATGTCATCTGACGACTTTATATTATGCGTAATATAAATACACTCTAGAAAGCATGTTTTTCTCTATAAAAGTACGACGTCTTTGTGGTATTTAATCGGTTTTATACATTCATAGCTTAGAAAGTGTCATACTTTCAATATAACGAATGTGAAATGAAAGTGATTAGCCATACTATTGCCATCGGGGACAACGATGTAGCTCGTTTGATGTATTATTTGGACTGCGTCTGTCGAACAATTAATTACGATGATATCCGGATTAGCTGACTCCGTAAGTTCAACAATTGGGAATCGCTTTCGGTTCACGACATTCGTTTCTTGATTGTTCTTTGTTATACTCTCAGTCTTGACGAGTTTGATAACAAAGTTTTTTCTTCAACTTCAATGGTATGTGTGGTGATTCACCGAACAAATACTATGAAGTTTGATGGCTGTTCAGTCGATTATTATTGCCAGTCAGATGTGTGACGTCAACAAAATCATGTCCTACAAAACGAGTTGGATGCACGGATACTACTTTAGTCCGCTGCAAAATATCATCACTTGGTTTAATAATCAAGACCGACAACAAACGTCTGGTTTAGGCTCGCCTGCATGCATAATATCATAATCCGGAAGTTATTTTACTCACAAACTCTATAAATGGTATTTGACATTGGTACCATTTCATACTTTACCTAAAGTATGAATTTATAATAACAATAAATGAAAATCGAGCACAGATACACATTTGGAACGTACTTTGTTTCAAGTTATTTAAGGAGAATCAGTGAAAACGAAACTAATCTTTCTTTTGTCACGATCTTTTGTAAAAAAAAACAATAGATTGAACATAAGTCAAGAGCTCATTTTATCATCAAATAACACAAAGACCAAGTAAAAGAAGTAGGAGAATTGAACGAAAAAGAGATGAAGTGTTATTATTCAATGACATTATCGCAACACTGCGTGTTGTTGTTAAAGGAGCATTTACTGATTGATTGTTGCATAGATCCGTATAACAACAGGTAAGATTTTTTATAATTGAACTTTGAATCAATTGCTGACATGTACCAACTCCAGTCAATGCGTAGGTCCAAACAGTACTTTCATGGTGCAATTGTTTAGTAGTACACAGAGTATTATTGTTGATACATTGAAATACAAAGCTAATACATAAACAAGTCTGATTCATACATGCATTTGGTATATAAAGTGAATCTTGTAAGCCAACGGTCGGCGAACTACTATCAGTACTACGAACAAATCCATAACATCGAAGAGATGATACAAGTTGAATAGTAGCAGAAAAGATCGTTAGATAACCAAGAGAAACCATCATTTGTGTTTGAAAGTTGTTGACAAGACAGCGTCTATATTCCTACAATTAATCGAATTCATATGAATGTGTGTCGTTGAGAAGTATGATTTACTGACACACCTTCTATTCCAAGGACGCAAGTCGACGATGATGAATGTGACGAAGATATATGTTCTTTTGATTGAAACGAGAAATTCAGTAAGTTGTGAGCGTAAGAACAAGAAAAAGAAATATTTCACTTATGACCTTCTGACGTCCTCAAGATCTGAAAAGAATTTATGTTTGAGGTCGTTATTTGAGAAATGTTCATCGTGTATACTGACTGAAATATAATAAACTGCTAGATTTTATTAAATGATTTCTGATACGTTTATCACCGGCTCTCGTTCGATTATTTGAATGCAAACATTACCATGAGTGAGATTAGAATTCCAATTATCGACTAATTGTATTCAATTTTCATTCTGAACGAATACAGATTTGTTCTATCCTCATTTGTCCTTCCCTCTATCGTTTGTATAAATAACCAAGAGTTGCAGATATCAATCACGGCAATTACAGTCCAAAATAGTAAAGTTAGTATCTGCAAAATTATTCAATAAATCATGGTCTACAGATACGGCAATGTAATGTCACTCGAATGACTATCAATAGGATCATAACCTACTTTTGAATTCAATAATGTGTTTTCGTGTTATCATGGTATTCATTGATTTTGTTGTTTATTAGCGCTTGAGATGAATCACATACTCTTTCTCCATATTTATTTTTCAGTCATTTTGTAACGACTAATACACTCGAATCGGTATATTAGCAATCAACAGATGCTTGCCTGAAAATTTCTATTGAGATAATGTCGATCACGGATTTGAATATTTATATCATTATGACTGTATATCACGACATTAGAATTGTCATTCGTTTATATGAGCGATTTTTTCAGTTATCGATAAAACGAACCGAACTGCAAACCATGTGATGAATAAGAGCGTACGCATTCACCATTCAAAATTGAAATAGAGACAACTTGCCAGCTATGGAAGAATGTCGTTCTGTAAAAACAAATCTATTCGAAATAGACTGTTTCTTTTCACTATATCAAACTATTGATTTTGTATATTTTTTGTTTGCATAAATAAATGTAGATTCGATTCTGTTTAACTCTCAGGCACCGTGCTCCTTCTTTCTGCAAATAAATAAATCTGTATTATTCAAAAGGAGTACATTTGATCCTCGAATTGATTATCAAGCACATATTATTTCTTCTAGAAATCAAAATCGTTGGATATAACGAATCTCAAAAATACCAATACGAATATGAATAATTCTCCTGATGGAAATTCATACAGAGCTGAAACTTCTCGCCAACGTGCAAGATCAATCATTCGAGAGTTTAGTTTTAATACGTCGACTCACGGTATTCCTGGTATTGCACGTAGTCAGAGTGTAACAAATCGAATATTTTGGACGATAAGTACAATTATTTTTGCTGGCGTTATGACCTATTTTATCACTGAATCGATTCTAAATTTCTTTCAATACCCTACTCAAATATCAATAGGAGTTGTGGATGATCCCACTCAGAGCTTCCCGGCTGTTTCAATTTGTAATTATTCGCCATTTCGCTATGATCTATTTATGGACGATTTTTTAAATTATACTAATACTTCGAACATAACCTATTCAGCAAATTCAACATTAGTGGAACGAAAAGTGATGCAAATTCAAGATTTTGTTCGTTATAAATTAAACCGAAATGAATTAGTCACTCAGTATTCTTTCACATTGGACAATCTGTTGATAAAGTGTACATTCAATAATCTCGAGTGCAGTAAAGAAGATTTCATCTCATTCTCTAATGCGCTTTATGGCAATTGTTATACATTTAACGCTAAATCCCCTTATATTAGGAATGGCTCCCTATATCGCTTGGCTGAGAATGGAGTTTGGGGAATTTTAAAACTGGATTTATATGTACACAGTAATCAATATGTTCCATATTGGTCCTCTGGTCTGTAAGATGATCTGCATGCTAGTATACTTATCCTTTGCTTTTCATTTAACGAATCATAGGAATCGGGATGATAGTTCAAATCCACGATAATGATCAGATACCTACAATGCAATGGAAGGGACAATATCTCATACCAGGACGACTCCACCGAATGGTTTATACTAAAACAATAGAGACTCACTTGCCAGCACCTTATTCCGATTGCAGTACTGAAGTTCCATATGCTCTACAAGTTGCATTCAATCATTTCAGTAACGGTAGTTATGCTTACGAACAGTTTATATGTGCTACCGTTTGTATACAAGCGTATGTGTAAGTTTGTTTACACTTTGACTTTTTATGTCATGTTTAATGATCGATATCCTTTTCAGTTACAAAATGTGTGGTTGTATTGATCCGACTGAATGGACCGCTCGTTACATTGCGGTACCAGGTACCGATAAAGTAATAATTGCGCCCGTGTGTAGTGAAAATGATACCTGCTATAGAAAAGAACTTGACTTGATAAATAATAGTTATGATCTATGGATAGAAAACTGTCCAATATGTCCATCGGAATGCAATACTGTGGAATTCACAGCAAAACTATCATCTCTTCTGGCTCCATCACTATGGTTGCTAGATGATCTTAAAACGAAAGTTGAGGCACTCGGTGTACACTTACCCACTAATTGGTCGACTACATGGCAGTCTGATCTTTCTCAAAACTATGTTGGCTTAGAAGTGGTCAGTGAAACTACTCGAGCTCAAACGCTCATAGAATCAGCATCCATCTCTCCTGTAGATCTCCTATCTAACGTGGGTGGTCAAACCGGCTTATGGATTGGTATCAGTTTTCTTTCACTGATGGAAATTGCCGAAATGATCTATCGTCTTATTCGATCCAAAGTTTACCAACTTTTGAATAGAAATCAGCAGCCCTCATCAGCATAATATCAAATTAAAACAAACGTGCATATGAAGTACAACTAATGACAGTTTTTATTAACACGATCAAAATCTTTTTGTAATTTACGTAAACTCGGGTGCTGTGTCAGTGATGCACCTTGAGAAATATCCAAAGCATTTTGGTAGTAAGATCGAGCGATCTCATATTCTTGCAAACGTTCATGTACTGCACCGATACTCTTATAAGTAGTAGCCAAGCTGATGTGTTTGTCGGGAAGACTTTTCTGCTTGATATCAATAGCTTTGTTGAAATATGAAAGTGCTTCGGAATTTTCTTCCAGACGAAAATAAGCCGAGCCCAGATTGTGATACGACTGTGCGATGTCAGGATGAGTTGAAGGAAGATCTTTTAGTCGAATCTCCAAGGCTTTTTCAAAGTGCAGTATAGCTTGAGAATATACGCTCATATTGTATAATACCGAACCAATATTGTCATAAGATATTGCTAAATCAGGATGGTCTTCAGATAAATGACTTCGTTTGATTTTTAGCGCATTGTTATGAGATGAGAATGCTTCATTATATCGACCTAGTGCGTTATACACTTCGCCAATATTACTATGAGTAGCAGCTAAAGATGGATTCGTAGATGAGAAAATCTTCTTCTTAATTTCAATAGAGGTATTATAAGCTTTAATCGATTCTTTGTACTTTCCTTGTCCGTATCTAATCATTCCCAATAGATGATAAACGCTTGCGAGATCCGCTTGTCTTGTAGATTGAGCGAACATTGCGTCACAAACTAGCTCGGCTTTGGAATATTCACCAAGCGTATTTAACAGATTACCTAATCGATACCAGCCGCTCTCGGTCGTGAAGGTCTCTCGTCGAATACGGTCTGTTAGACGACATAGTTGTTCATCTTTATCATTGGTAAATGTTAAATGGATTTTCCAAAATGAATCATCAGATGCATTGACAGCTTCGATTTCTCCAATTCGAAAAACAGAATGCATCCCAAAGAGAACTTCTTCCTCTTTGGGATAATAACTAAATTCGCGAACATTGCCATAGAATACTGAACACGGCGACGTGCCGATTCGAATAACAAATAATATAGAAACCAAGCCAGGCTCCTTTACCGTCGGTCCTGCAAATCTCATGGCCACCTTCTCTTCTGTACTTGTAGATAGAAAATTATTAAATGACAACAGTCCACCTGTTGATTTCTTTATTTGTTCAAATCTTTCTTCCGATAATTTTTGACCACGATAAAATATCTTTCCATCATGGCGACTAAAGTGTTGTGCAGAGTACAAAATGTCAAGATAATCTGTAAGATCTTGTATAAAAAAGCCCATGCGGATAATCACGTCTAGGTCCATGTCTCGTAATGCTTTGTTAATATAAGTATATAGAAATGATGGAGAAGTATACCACCAAATTGGGTCATGCTTGTGATAGGTTTCTTCGATTTTCTTGGCATCTTCAAGCAGTTTGATGTCGTCATCGAAGAGATTCTTTCGGCAATAAGTGAGAAAATTGTGAACACATCTAGGCCCAAAATCGATATCGAGGAGAATTTCTTTGAGAATTTGTGAATACATGAAGGATCGATCGAGCTGATCGAGATTTTTCTCAATTTTACCATCCGTCGTATTGATGATGCTGATAGGCGTTGAATCTTGATCGGAATGTTCAATCATTTTTTGAATTGTTCTACAAAGTGAAGCAATATCTGTAACAACGCCCCCGATTTTACTCCATTTCGATGTCCACTGTCGATGACGCTGTTGATCTTGACAAAACACACAGAAGAATTTGATCTGATTAAGATCGTGAATCGACGGCAGGATCATTTCGCCAAGTGAACCAGATACGACCATTAATATATAATCTTCCTTCAGACCATTAATAAATTCGATACATTCGTTAACATCTGTAAATGTTCGAACATCTTCAACGATTTCTTGTAGTTGTGCAACAGTATTCGCACAATGAGGATCATTAGCAACATCAATAAACTTGTCAAGCCATACGAGACGAAAATCTCTAACTGAATTAGTTGTTACTTTGTTCTTCCTACCATCACTGAGATAAGCGATTGTTCGTCTCAACCAACTCATTTATTAAAAAAACTGTAATGATTGAATATTACGACAGAAAAATGATTGCATATGTTTTATACTTCCGTTCTTTTCTCCTAGTCACACTTCATTTCACAGCACACTTGTTTTTCCGACTTTTTCAATATTTCAATTCGCATTCGTTTGTCTGTCACTTCAAAATTGTGAGATAAAACATCATCGAACGAATAGATATGCATTTTTTCATGTCTGCCAGTACACTAATCATATTGACTCGGCAAGTTTTTTTCTTCTTCTTATCTTTATCATGACAAAGTAAATTATGAAAGAATCAAACTTACAGGGCACTAAACCGTTTTACACTTTGTCCTTCTGTGACAAAAATTCAAGTACACGTGTAAATATCTCGAAGAAATATGTACATTCAGTTAATAGATGCCAGAAATTACTCGAATACTGACTTTATGCGTATTATGAAATGGCGTTGATATGTAACTCGACAGATATCTGTACCGAGACAAGGGGTGCGTTCGTGCCTCCCCCGAGATGAAGAAAGCAAACCCATCTGTTGTTTTGCTTTTCTTCTGGCAACCAAAAGAAAGTGTGTGTTACTGCGTTGTTTTTGTGAAAAACATCAAAACTCGTCCTTGAATGTTTTCAGTAGTCAGTCGATTGGTGTGTTCGTGTATGATCAGGTGCTTTGAAATCGACCTTGAAATGATACGCGAAAAAAGACTCACAGTGCTATAATCTGATGATTGAGAAGAGAGAAAAAAAAGTTTGTTTATCGATAAGAAACAAGATCATGTGTTTCTCCTTGGACAATGACATCCAACGCATTTCTTCGTTCTGGTGCGAGGAGAGAAAAAATAGGCAAAACAGCAACACGCGCGTGATGTTTCTCTCACGTTGTGTGTACCAGAATCGCGAAGAAAAAAAAAGTCAGAACAGGAAAAGTCGACCTCGGCCTATCACGCTGACGATGCATGGATATAGAATGCTTTAGATTGTCCTGGCTGTTGTTATAAAAGACTTGCCTTTTTTCATTTTTTTTCTTCCAAAAAAAGAAAACTAAATGGATTATTCACAATTAGACGAAAGTTTAAAGTTATTAAATGGTTTACATAATAATCCATCGAAGAGGAATGAAATTATCTCGTCAATTAAGAAGAATAAGCGAATCTCCATATTTGCTTATGGATCATTATTATGGAAACCAATTGAACATATTGACGAAATGATATCAAACTGTGTACTTCCAGACTACCAGAAAGGTTTCTATTGTGAAGATTTCGTCTATCGTGGTACATTGGATTTCAAAGGATTAACAATGGGTTTGATAAAGCAGTCAAGTAGTTTTGTTCATGGTGCATTATTTGTTGCATTCAATGAAGAAATTATTCCATTTATCAAATCATTTGTTAAACGTGAGACTCCCGTACATTATAACCAGACAATTATGAATATTTATACATACGATTTCGTTAAAATAACTCTTCCCGATCGCAATACAACGGAATATGCATTGACATGTGTTGTAAATAGTCAAAGTTTATTTTATTTAAAAGAACACTTGACTTTAGAAGAGCAATCGTTAAGAATTGGACAAGCCTATGGAATAAATGGAACGAATTTTCAATACTTAGATAAATTAGTTGATGTTTATCGACAACTAAAGATTCAAGATACATTCACAGATATTTTACAAGATCTCCATATGAAAGTTCTCTTATATCGACAGTCGTTAACATTGAATGTGCAAAAATGGTATCAAATTTATGATCAATTGCAAACGTTAGAGCAGCGAAAAGAAGCAACGAAAGCGATAACCATAATTCAGCCATTTCTTTATCATTCGGATTATTTAGAAGATGTAAATAAACAAACAAACCAGGAAGTTACTGTTGTAGAATAGAATCGATCGTTCTCAGTATTTTATGTACATATTTCGTGTTTTTTCCTCTTTATTCTCTGATAAATAAAAAATCTTGATGATTTTGATAGATTAGTTTATACTTAATTGAACGCACTGACATTCTCGATTTTTTTATTTCGTGAAAATTAAAATCGAATGATCTTGATCATATGAGAAAAGGTGTTTTAGTCTTTTTTGTTGACAAAGATGTGTGTTTAACCGAATTTTCGACATTGGCAATCGCTTGGTTCAGGACAACTTCCACCGTTAAACATACAAGCATTCCACCAACCACATCGTAAAGTACAATCCAAGCTTATTTTATTGAAGTCAGCCGCTTCCACATCTGATGCAGCTGGAAGACTTACAGCAAAACAGACTAATAAACCAAGAACAAGCAGACATAGAAGAGAATTTGATTTCATGATTGAACTACATGTCAAAGTTGAATAAACAGTTTTAAACTAATTGTAGGATATGAATACTTACAATACTTTTGTAGGAATGACGACGAATGAAGCAGTTGAAATTATTTTCAGATCCAAATGAAATTTACCTTTTATACACCATTAAACAAAAGCCTAACTCAATGCAAATTTATGTGCATTTTTTTTTCTTTATTGATTGTTTTCAACTACAATTATGTACCTGTTACGATTCACTTCCTGTGAATTGTCAGAGACACGCTCCTTTACGAAGTTTGCCTCATTAGTAGCGAAACTCGTTTGAGTTTTCGGTACTAATTATCGTGATGCATTATAGAATTGTACAGTTCACGCTTTGAGAGATTCTTATTTTGTCACGAAGAAACAATTTGATCATGGGAACTTAAAGTGCAAAGAAAAATATCAAGATCAACTTCCCCACCAAGCTATTGATTGTCAATAAAAATAAAATAGACAAAAAAATATATGAATAAATTGACATTTGCATATTCCTTGTTAGCTATAACACTTGGACGATCATCATCCGTATATAATTTTTAATAAAAGCTAAAAAGTCATTTGTTAATAATTCTATTTTCAAATATATGCATCTGTTTACAAACTGAATCGTTTGCTTATGCAAAGAACTAAAGTTAATGTGCTGTTCATTGCGATATAATACGTAAATCGACTTTTAACCTTAAATTTATCCATTAAATGTCTGTGAATGTCGTATGACCTAAATCATTGAAAGTATCATGTTCTTCATTTGATACTGCTACTCCTGGATTATATTCTTCGATGGTGAAGTGTACATATGAGTCTTGCATATTTCATTTCAAATCTACATGGACAAAATTTATATTTGAGAGTCAACAAACAATGTATAAACATTCTCTGATACTTAGTTCATAATGCTTCTTCTTGTTTGGTATTTCAATGATAAACATATGGGTGGGGAAACGTATACGATTATGAATTGATCAAATTTTCATGCAATAGTTTCTTCTCCTACATAATCATTGTTACGACGTGCTGCAACGTCTGTTAGAACTTCTCTAGTCTTTGATCAACTAATTATTACATAGATTACTTATGCTCTCTATTGCAGCGTTTCAAACTTTGAAGCATCATTGTATATCAAATAAATGACTTTCATGTATTGTTTTCGAAAAAAAGTCATTGATTAAATATAAGATTTTGTTGATATGTTGTCATTTCTTTTGACTAAGCGCTCTACATCCTTGAGGTCGATGGACGGGTGGAGCCGTTTTAGAAACAGGCTTTTCTTTGGATTTTTGTAAATTCACTCTTTGTCTAGATAATGAACTAGGTCGGCGTCCATCGAGAACGCTATTCCTACGAGTCTGTATTCTCGGTGGACTCGTTCTTGTTGTTGAAAATGATTTTGCACCTTGAGGGACCTGAGACGGAGACTTTCTTGTAGATAGCATGGATTCTTTCTTCGCATCAAAGGACGTTTTGCGAGATAGTCTTCCAGCTGACGGATTAGGATTGAACATTTCCTTTGTTTTAGCAATATTTGTTGGTTTCTTTGGAGGCAATGAATGAATATCAACATCGTTCTCATGCCGTGAAAATGGAAGAAGTTGATTGACCATCGATCTTCTCGGAGTCCATTGATTGCCTTCGTAAATAATCCAATCGCTTAGACAAAGGATAAATTTTCTAGCATAAACTTGTTGTACCCACTCACGAGGTAGACTATGATAACCATAGAATGCACCTGCCAATTGCCCATAAATAGCAGCTGTTGTATCAGTGTCGTCACCAAGGTTAACTGCAGCTAACGCACCAATTTTGAACGAATTGCTATCATAATAGAAAGCCCACAAAGCAGCTTCAAGTGCACTGACAATGTACCCTTTGCCTCGAATGCCCTCATCATATCCACCTTCTCGTTTGTATGAACCTCGAGCAATTTCCATAATTTCTGGACAAAGTTGAACACCATTAAACCATTGTTCGTGGTTATAATAGAAATTATTATCGGTCAATGCGTTCTTAGTTTCGCCTCGAACAGCTGCAACGATAAGAGCACCGTAATAGCGACAAGCATCGTAAGCTTTCCGATCACCATGAGTAATTAGACCACTCAAACCAGACAACTCGACAGCACATTCGGGATATGCATAGAAAAATAAGGGTACGGGAGCCAACCGCATCAAAGCACCATTACCAGCTACGCCCTCCTGACTGCATCTGGCGTCGAATTCCGAGAGTAGATAAGGATCCGAAAGATAGTCTATTCGATTAAGAGGTATGTTGTGAGACTTTGCAAATTCTTTCTGACGTCGTTCAAACTCCAATATAGCTTGTTTGGTGGCCGTGCCAATATCAAAGCAAGATCCGGTTGATGACATATAACCATGCTGAAACCACCATTTGTAGCGTACCAATTGATCGTACATCACAAAATCATGACGAGCCACAAGTGAAATAGCTAAACACAAAGCCATGGACGTGTCATCCGTGAACTAAAATACACGTTGATGATGAAGAGTAAAGTAAAAACCCAGATTATTTTTTCAACCCTTCTATCAGTAAATTACCTGTCCCTTTTCCAGTCCCCAAGTTCCGCCGCGTTCAAGGTCTGTTACAGGATGCTCCAAGAGGAAGTCCCTCGGTCGAAATTCGACATGAGCACCGAGAGCATCACCCACAGCCATTCCAATGAGCGATCCAGAAATGCGATCAATAGTATCTGCTTGTGTAGCGGACGGAGGACGCTGTAAGTAAATTTCAAGTTCATCTGGCTTTACTATGGATCGATTTCCGTTCTCATGATACTGATAGTCAAAGCATCGTGGTTCTAAAAAGGGAACATTTGATCGAGGCGGCCGCATACTTATTTCGTATCGTTTAGTTACTCACCTGTTCGAAACTGACATGCTTGATCACCGTTTGAAGATGCACACAAAGCTGAAACAATCGAAAGGTGATAAGTACGAGAATTGCTTTTATACACCCTTGTAGAAGGAACGAAATCTTACCATTCGCTTGGTTTGAAGTTGTGACATTAACGTTTTTCGAAGATGTCGTCTTAGATATTGATGATGATGCAGTGTCAATAGGCGCATTCTCATCATCTAGATTCGTTTCTTCGCTCAAGTGAATCACGATTATTCCTTTTACAAGCTTTCTAATTTGAGTCACACGTAAACGCGTACCAGGCATCAGTAAGATCTCCGTATTATTCTTCGATGTCGAATGCTTGGATATGTCTTTTCCATTGAAGCACTCAATTCGGAATACAGTTCGAGTACCATTTGAGCCAATAATTCTATCTATACTCTGTTTGGGCGTAACGCAAGAATTAAAACCCCACCACCACCAGAATGAATCCACTTTGTATTTTCCTGTTAAATCGCCTTTACCAGCGCGGTAAACTGTACACTGGACGGACGGTAGTTTGTCTAGCGCAGCAATGAAGAGTTTCAAATACGTACACCATGCTGCCAATGATGACTGGCTATTGTTATAAAGAGCTTTATTAAGTCTCATAAAAACATTGTTCTGCGGTGTTACATGCTCCTTGGTATATAGGTAGATGGAAGCAGATTCATCATGATTAAGACCATCGACTAGATTCATTTTTCTTCTCTTCGCTTCGGTGACCATTTTGCCAATGATTTTGATTTGCTCTTTTACTGTATGGACCGCTTTCTCTAATGGCAGTGTAGGAACATTTTTCAGGTCAAGAATAGGTGGTCGGCTTTCCATTGGTTCATCACCAGTAGCAAAAAAACGTTGAACACCAGTCATCATATGGTGCGTGGATTATTTCAGAAAATAATAGAAGTCGTCACACGAACACTGCGTTCTTTTCAATGAAAATTCCTTTTTTTGCGAATTAAGCCTTTCGAAAAAGGAAGAAGAAAAATACAAGCAAATAGTCGACATATAGCACTTTTTTTTACCTTTCTTTTCTTTTCTTCCTAAGCTGCTTTTAAATTGTGTTTACTCTCATTGTTGCTTTTCGTCTGTTTTTGCTTTAATGACCTATCACCATAGCTGCCATATCACCGAGAGATTATAAAAATGTGACTGGCAACAGCAAAACCGTTGACAATTATTTCGTATACAGTTTAGATGTCTAGCTGTGCATACCTAATAATGGCATAATATGTTTGCGTCTCTTTCAAATCTTAAAAGATACACATATTAGAGTAATATTAAGTCAATGTCATGTATTCAGTCCTTGAATGTTTACTTATATGAATCATTTAGCAGGATATCTAGAAGATAAATACGAATATCTCTATCGAAAGCTTCACAGGTTGGAAAATTTTAGAAGATAGAGGCATCAATAAAGACATATTGTGATGAAATGTGATAGATACCGTTCGTGCTTTTTCGGCATGATGGCGCCTTGCGTGGTCTGCACACTTCTCATAATTGTATCTTTTCGGTTATCTTCAACATTTGTATCGTAGTAGTCGAATTTAATAGAGAAAGGGGAGACGAAAGCAGCGCTCTCTGATGGTGACGATGATGATATATGTAGATGAAGTCAACAGGACAAAAAGCGTTACAACTACTAAAGCAAATTGCGCCACAAAAACTACTCAAATTTACTGCTTTCACTAGGCTTAATTCTTAATTTCAGGCTTCCTCTTATCGATATCCCATTTTCACCATCGTCTAAACCAATGTTCCACATCTGTTGTACCTTCATTCCAAAATTTATTCTCGCCAGCTCATTAGTTTCACATAGATCCTGATTCTGACAGCATCATTATATCACAGTCAGAATCACACGATTTGAATACAAAGAAAAAATTAGCCATTATATGTGAGATGTGATTATCTTTGTTTTACCCTAAAAAATTTTGCATATGATAATCGATTAAGGCTCTAGACCGTTTAAGAGAAAACATGAAATTCATGACGGGGACACGATCAAAAAATCTATTGATTTAAAGTAGAACCTGTAGAAAGGATACTTTTTAATTTCTGCGTCTTACAAATGTTCTTGTTATTTTTGCAAAAATCCACGAAGTCAATTGAGTGCTATCAAATACAAATAAATGTTGGTTGATGTAAGGCATTAACTCGTTGGAGACAAGTGACGTATAAATATACGTCCAGATTGAAATCAACTCATAATTTATTTTTGTATACTTTTTACGATATTTTAATAATCTGTGCTGCTATATATATCGCTAATGTATTATACTATCATTCGTATTGTGAACTCTTTCACTTTGTTTCCTGTTGTAGTTATATTCATCAATTCCATTTTTTCGTTATGTCATGTCTGACTGATGTCGTGTATTGTCTATTTTTCAGTTTATCTTCGCACACATTGTCTCTTGCATCCACCAGAGTGTCTAAAGTCTTATTTGGTCTCTTAAAAATGACCCCGTCCTCAAGGGGTCAAGGACAACTGAAGTGAAACATTGAGACCTATTCTAAACCTGTGTGACAAGATCAGTTTTCTGTCTTAAGAGATGTCAATTTATATTCTATAATCTCGTGAAAATAAATCAATATCAACGAATCGTATTCAACATTGATAAGAGTATGAGTTAAAAGAACAGTGATGTTCTTCCGCTTTGCAATTGTTCTCTTCAATAAGTATCGATGTAAATTCTACCACGTGTGATCTATCAAAGAATTAATAAAATACATTCGACTAAATACGGTCCTCATTTGATCTAGGCTCAAAAAAAAAGGTCAGGCCAAATCATGATTAAAGTTAAAGAAATTGATGTACTTCTCCTATTTTTCGTTTTTGATCTATTCGATTATTGGTCAAATAGAAACATATTAGTAATCACATATTTAATGTTCGCAATATCATGCGCCGATGGAGAATAGAAGATTATAAAGCAAAGGGCTATGCTGGATTTTGCTTCGCACGTCATTATTCATAGATCAGGCATCCTATTAATCTACTTCTAATCTGTTTTTGTGTAAATCTTGGCATTTTACCAATAACGAACATTTTCTTCAGATGTACCCATTGGCTTGTGAATATTTATTCGTGGTTTAGCATATCTTAACGAGACGAGTTTATTTATGAAAAAAAACAAAGACTCGTCGATAAGGGACAGTATAAATATAGCCGAAGATTTATTTTACATTCAAAACTTTTCTCGCATCGTTACCATATACGTATATAGACAACGATGTTAGCTACTGTGGCTGGTGTAGGTGTCCTCCTACTATCTATGGTATACAGCGCCGGTAATAGACTTCAATTAAAGTAATAGAACTGAGGAAACCTTTTCTTTTCTGTCCAGCTGGTAACTGTTTGGTAAGTGCTTGTACTGGTGGCCTCTGCTGTTCGGCATACGGTTATTGTGGCAGTGGTCCTCAGTATTGCGGTGCAGCAGCAGGTGCTGGCGCAGGAGCCGGAGCTGGAAGTGGAGCAGCTGCTGGTGGTAATTGTCGTACTTACGGATGTCCAGCTGGACAGTGCTGTTCACAATATGGCTAGTAGGTGAAATCTTTCTTTCGTTCGGAATTCATCGACTTCTGAATCTGTTCAGTTGTGGCACCACTGCAGAACACTGTGGTGGCGCAGCTGCTGGGGCTGGGGCTGGAGGCGGTTATAATGGCGCCGGTGCTGCCCAAGGTAGCTGTGGTGGAGCAGGCTGCCCAGCAGGGTCATGTTGTTCTTCATTTGGATTGTGAGCAATACAACCGAAACAGATCCACTTTACAGTTTCACTCATGTACTATTTATATTCCTTAGTTGTGGAAATACTGCTGCTCATTGTGGAGGAGCAGGTGCTGGTGCGGGGGGAGGTGCAGGAGCCAGTTATGGTAGCTGTGGTGCAACAGGTTGCGGTGCCGGTCTTTGTTGTTCAAAATTTGGCTAGTACGTGTTTACGTAAAGAATTGCTTTTTTTCAACTAACTTTTTCTTTATTCAAGTTGTGGTTCTTCCGCTGCTCATTGTTCTCTCGCTAGATTTCTGTCTCGAAAACAACCAGCTTCACTCGATGGCGAATTTCAAAGTGAAGCGCGATACTACAACGAAACTAAAGCTAGTTATGAATACAGCACATGTGGCATAAGTCGTGCTCTGTCGTTAGACGAAGACAATCAAAAAATCTACACTGCCGCTCTTAATGAAGCTCAGTTCGATCCATACACTAGAGATGGTATTCCAAGCACCAATCCAGTTTGTGAAAGGAAAGCTCTTGTCACAGGACCTAAAGGCGAGATCATCGTTCGATTCGTAGACCGTTGTTTCGGTTGTAAAGAAGGTGAATAAGCTTAATACAATAATATCCAGATCTTGAAGAATGGTTTCTTTTTCAGGTGAAATTGCTCTAACATACGATGGTTTCATGGCCGTTGCAGGCGAAATGGGTGCTGGTCACACTGGCGTTGCTTGGCATTTCATTTAATGCATAAATGAAAAGTTTAAGTTGACTGCATGATGATATTTTCCACTTTTTGATCTGCCTATCTATCTCTCGAATAAAATTTTGCACCACAATCACGTATTGTTACAAAGATTATGTACAGATGATTAAAAAATAAGTATTGGACAGTGAAATTATTTTTTATGGGCCACTGTATATGTAAAAGTGTAGCTTAAGAGTGAAGCTCGATCATGTATACATGTGCTGTACAATTGAGAAAAACAAGAGCCATAATCGCGAATGACTGCATAACTGACTTTGTTTTCTCCTTATTTTTGTATTATGTTCTATGAAAAACAAAGTAATGCTCCAGTAGTTTCTGCTGAACCGACGTTATTTATTCATTTCATCTATATCTTATCTGACGAAAGTATTACATATTTATCAAGCAAAAGATCACAAAGAAAAACTCATGTCATCGCATCGTGAAAATTATGCACATTTGGTTGGAAAACATGTTGATGAAGCAGTAGAAACATTAAAAGCTGATGGTATGTTGAAACTTGTTCATTTTTAATAAGTTCTTTTAAGTGCAAATTTGCTAGGTATGGAGCCACGTGTTTATCATCACATGGGTCTTATTCGCAGCGAAAATCCTAAAATGGTTCAACTTCAAGTAGATCCCGAAACGAAGAAGGTTAAAACCATTTCATAGACTATCACTCGGAGTTATCATCGCATCTTCAAAGACATTTCATGTTTTATTAAGATCTATGTAAGAACTGAACTCGATTTAAGTTCATTTAATAAAATTCATTTGTATCTCACATATTCCCCAGACAACAATACTCATCTTTGACAAGTCATCACCTCTGAGAAATGACACATTTCTCGAAGGAGGATCCAGATCGCAATGCACTTTACTTCCATTAATAACATATCGTCTCTAGCGGACAAACGGATTTTTATTAGTAATTCTTTTGAATGCATTTCAAAGAAAAAATAATAAACCCTTACGGACAGTTTTTGAGAAAAAAACGAGTTAATCAAGTTCATCATTTGAGGATGTCGTCAGTGTGTTCAACGGGGTAATTCCATTATTTCGATGGCAAGTCCAACGTTTCAATCTTGCCCAACATATTTTCACTAGAACATACTTCGCCTGATTTCGATATCGCGCACAAGTTATGATAAAAATGTAGAAGCTCGCCTGAAAAAAAAACACATTATTTATCTATAAAATCAAAGAAATCATACATACAGAAAAGTTCATTGTAAACAAAAGTATACAAATCTGCAGAGTTAATTGTATAATAGCGTATTGTAAAGCCTTCGACTGATCAGGCACTTCACCAATAGAATAGACACGATAGATCGAATATGGTAGTGCATATACAATGAAAAATGCGACACGCGTTAAGATCATTGCTGTCATTTGTTGATCCATTCGACGGCGATCAATTGGAATTTGCCGACGAACAAGACGCCGAACATTACGAAACGCTAATAAACTGAAGAGAAAAGCAATGATAATCTGAATAGAACCGTATAGAATCGGATAGAAGAAATAAATGGAGTAACGAGATACATTTGCATTTGTGATAATACATCCAGCAGATGTTCGAATGTTGAGAAAACAACTAAACGTAATACTATGAACGTACCAGAGGCAGCTGGTGATGATTACTAATGATCGAACTAATTTCAGTGTACAGAAATTTCTTAAATTAAATAGATAACTTGTCGAAAAAAATTGATCGACAGCAGCACAAGGTATTATGAAAAATATTGTCAAACCCAGTCCTTGATTCAAGATCAGTCTCAATCGACACCAGACGAGCGACACTTGATCAAAATCGGTTCCGATGATTAAACGTGCTGTTGTATTAATTATGCTCGATGCGATGAAAATTAATCCTACAATTGATTCGACAATGAAATAGAACGACCATCGATTCTCTCGAAAACGCTTCAATTGTGAAAATATGATCAGATTGAGAATATTGCCAAGCATGCCACCAGCAAGTACAACATATGATCCATATACAAAATATTGTCTAAGATTGGAAATAATGTTTACAGCTGTTGAAAGCGACGCCATTACTGTCTACTCTTTCTAAGTTGTGTACAAAAGATGTGGCACCATGCTCTTATTCTGGTGCATTTATGTGTGATATTAAATTCTTTCAAAGGAAAGAAAAAGAAAATATATAAGCATATTCATAACCACAATGAAGAAAAGTTTATAATGCTTCTAAGCGTGTCAGATCAGATTAGTACTTCATAAGATTTTATCTTCAAAAGACAAATAAACTAAATTAATTCCGGAAAACGACAAGGTTCTTTTTCTTATTAATTAAGTTCCTTTGCTTTCATATGATTAAATTCCAATAGATAGGGGAACACCTATGGGTATAGTCTTATTCGTTAATAAACAACTGTTTTTGCATTGTTTTTTTCGCCTTTTAATCTTGTTTCGGATGTTCCGTATTGTGTTCAATAGCTGATTTCGCATTATTGTGACTTGTTCACTTTCCCATCTTTCCGTACGACAAAAGTAAGCGAAACTTTCGCAGTTTAACCGAAATATATTATATTCATATTCATCTGGTTTATCGAGCATACTCTTTGCTCGTTGATTAGTTTCTTGTTGTTTTTCAAGTGTATCATTCTGATATTGAACGATGTATAACTGGCGAGTTCGTATTCCTACACGTTTAATATTACCGGCGATGAATATTGGAAGTGTGGTTACTTGAATACGTGCTTCACGTTTTTTTACACCCCAAAAGTGAATAATTGAGATATCTGCTGATGTTAAATCGACGACAATACCATGATGAAAGTGTTCGTATGGATTCGCAGCGGCTATATGAGCACCAGGATAGAGTTGTGTTCGAGCTGATTGAATATCAACCAAATGAGAATTCGTTGGCTGAAGGCTGATATTCGATACTCGAAGAATAGGACAAAGAAGTTGCATTAGTTTACTCAAAGTCTGAAAAAACAATATGACTACCAATCGTTTTCGTATTACTACTTATCTAATAGCGAATATGTATTTTATTCATCGTTGATTTTCTAATTCGTTCTACCCACGTCAGTAGATAAGTACACCTACGAACGAAGAACAGCATCATCATTATATTACGTCTTTCTCTCTTTTTTCTACTAAACATAACCCACGTGTCACGTGGATATTATCATATTGTAACCTATTTGATCAAGCACGATATACTCACGGAACAATTTTTCGATAACGTACTCAACAACGTTCATTTTAGCGGTTAAATCGAACGGCGATAGTCAGACCTTTTATTAGATTTTTTCACAACGCCTGAAATCGCGGTTATTAACGGCTTAAAAAATGTATACCACCAAGATGGCACACCATTTTTGACATCCATTCTATATTCTCAACCTATCTAACATAGTCGCACGCTTATCTAACACCTCGGTCAACCTATTAAACACCACTATCTAATTTTTATTTTAATTCCTCTTCATAAATTCTAACGCCTTAACTTGTGATTATCATTCATTTATTTCATTGAACTATCTGGTGATGTTTATACTGAGGTTAAATATGATAGTCTATCCGATTGATGATGAAAAATCCTTGAACTGTTATTAGTATTTTTATCTATTCTACTGTTTTGTGAAGTTTTCTGAGCTAGTCATGTTAATGATGAATTATATGTAAATAAAAAGCTGCCTTTATTTATATTAACACGAATGATGATTGTTGTTCAGATGAATGATCTATTTTCTCAAAAAGTAAATGATATATAAGAGATAATTAGTAAAATATTTAGTTAATAAACCACAATATTGAGTACTTGTGAAAAGTCTAACTGTATTTGTATTAGAATTTAGAATATTCATATATGTAAATCAATACTTCGAAACACATGTACCTATACGATTAAAAGATATCGAAATTTTATAAATCGAAAAAATTAGATTCGTATTAATATTACATATGAATTTCTACTATCTATGTATATTATAAATAGTCATCTCATAGCAAGAGCCATTTGATAAAATAATACGTATTCTACATGATATTATCGTTTTTCATATAGAATCTTAGGTTAAACTACTACTTATTCAGATTTCATATTGATATAACTTAAAAGCGTTTTCCTCACCATTCAATTGGTGGAATTCTTTTTAATTTAAATTTATTTCACGTTAGCACATAAAGTAAACAGTAATACTAGTACATACATGGAGTTTACTGTGATTTGATATAAAAACATTTCTTTTTTCTATTTTAAATGGTCTTCTAATATCTTTTTCAATTCATATGAAAAAAAGAAACAAATTTAACTCTAATCAAGCTTTCGCTGAAAAAAATTCAAAATGTCATCAACGAAGAGAACCTTTTATGACAATGATAAATGGGAAGAGAGTTTATGAATTTGTAACGTATAATAAAGTCTTTGTAAATCGTATTTGACCAAGTTACAAACCTTTTATTGATTTATCTAGCGGTTGATAAACGGAAGAAAGGGCTTATTATACGTTGCAAATTCATAAATCCTTATGTTTTCAGTGTTCTCGTGTAAAATCGCGACTTTATGTATCAGGAAAATGAAGTTATATATCATCATCATCATCATCATAAAAATAAAAATACCAATTGTGAAAGGTAATATCAGGCTTGAGGGTAAGAACAACGGAAGCTTTTGAGAAGATTTAGAACCAGCAGGTTACGATGAGAAGTTTGCAAAATATAAATGATGGCAGACGGCATTTCGCGAATACCACCACTAATTTACATCTCGCTGCAGCTTTCGAAATCGCAATTTTCAACGGTATATCATGTTGCGATTCCTTTTAAGATTATACTGCCATAAATCGAGACTGTGTTGCACCATACCGCGGTGTCATGAAATAGCCGCATCTATCAGCGGTGTTTGCTTTAAAATTTTTCCGTGGATAGTTACTCAAACTTGATCACATGATTTACTTATTAGTTAATACTATTTGATTGTAACGAACGATGAAGTCTACACTCATGACTTAACTCAATCGATGATAATAATCATAAGAGTTCAAATAACAATAAACACTTATCTTATCGTAAACTATTTAACTGTAACGAGTGGACATAGAGAACAACCGTTCTTACCCAAAAGAGATCTGAGACTGAATTGATCAATTAGCACTCATGTAGTAGGCGAACTCAAAACTTCGTTAGTTGCCAGAAAATTAATCAAAAAGGAATGTCTATCATTTCATATTACGCGCGTAGTTGTACGCATCCTTTTTCTCGGCGAATTAAAAAAGACACGTAAATCAGACAACGTCATTATTCGAAGAACAGAATGACGCAAAATCCATTTAACCCAACAAAAAATTTCAATATCTCTTTTATCGTACAGGTAAATGGGCTGTATTTTTATCGAGGAAAGATATGTTCAAGCTTTATTATACATAAAGACATTCCTTGAGAAACTCTTTGTGAGGTATTAATAATTTATTTACAAATAGGAGAAATGACGCATAATAAAGAAAAATAATCTATCAAGAAAAAAAGCATATTTACTCTTTTTTTGTATCTGAAATGTATTTGAATAAAAGAGCACGTTTTACATGTTCATATAATTTATTACACATGCACTTATTGAGTTGCATTTGCTCATGGAGCACTATTTTTTTCTTTTATTTGACAGAGAGTAAACTTTTTCTTTGGTAAGGTTCTTATTAATACATATCGATGTGTTTCTCTAGGTATATCTTTATCGATATAAAACTCGAGCATGTCTCTATCATTAGTAGAGAAACCGCTCATTTGTTTGAGATGTAAAAGAGGTATTTAGATTTCTTTTGAGTTAAATGACCCTTGCGTCACCCTGTACACTGACTTGTCTTGAAAAATTTTCCAATAATTTTTGCAAAACATGTTTCTAGTTTTATCAACATACACAAATTCGCAATCGTCGCTATTTTGTTTGAACAAACTTTAACTTTATTGTATGGTTGTTTCTTCCCGTGAGTGTTCACCAAAAATCTTTTTCGTAAAATTGACCGACTAGTTGTGTCAGTTAAAAACTGAACTGTGTCTATTCATACCTTGTACATAGATGATCTGCGACAAGCTGAGTGAATACGCGACCCGTCTGAGAATTGCTTTCATAGCTTATGTGCAGACAAATGAAAAAAGACAGATGTCATCAATCTCGAAAGTGATTTGTGTAAGAAACATCTATCTTCAGATAATAGACTATACTCAATCTCAAGTTAATGATGTAACAGGATAGATTAGATAGAAAGATCATCTGCGGGATGGACGTGAGCTGCGAACTCAATAATGACAAAATCAACAAAAACCACGATTGAACTAAGTTTGTTACGCAAAGGGCATACATGGAGTCATGTACGAATCATGAGGTCCGTAAACAATTTATAGGTATACGATATGACAGTCACAGTCGAAGGAACTTTAATGACGGAATGGTTTTTATGAAAGCAATATTTAACTTATTGTGTTTCTATAAAATATGAAAATCTGTATAGATTAACGATATATATAAGCGTGGAAGTCCAAAACAGGGACCGACATTGTGATTATGCCCGTTTTTATTTCTTTCATGACACTAATGACTAATGAAACATTCGCAAACGCAATCTCACGTACTGTATCATCCGAGAATGTGAGGAAATCAGTTAGAAAAATGCATCTTTTTGTATGAGTAACACACTTTCCGGAGAAACAGGACCTTTGTGAAGGCATTAGCCGTAGAAGTCCTTAGATTCTATTTGAGTATGATCGATTACCTATGGACAGCTCTGTTTCATGGGAGAGTCGATATTTAAGTTGGTGACATTTTCTCGAAATCTAAGTCATAAAACTTCGATAGTCGAAACTTGTCATATATGGTATAGTGTAAATATATTCAGAAGTATCTGCTCCTTGCTAGAGTATTTGTTCGATTTGAAGATCGATTGAAAAATCTGCACAATCTCATACTAATTTTTTATGCGTAGTTTTTCGTTTTACAATTATTCTGACAAACCTGTAATAAGGGTAATGGAAATATGTGAATGTGATAGATGATTATTCAGATTACTCCTACTTCGCAGCAGGAGTCCATGCATTTTCTTAATTCTAGACCACCGACAGTAAGCACAATTCATAGCATTTCGTTTTCTTCTATACTAAGGAATGTGATCTGTTAAATTTCAACAATGAAAAGTCGATGTAATTTTACAGTAAAACCGAACTGTATCATGTTATAGGCTTCGTATTTAGTATGCACAACTTCATTTGAACTGCTTCTTGTGTATCAAAGGTGAAAGCAAAAACAACACGGTGAATCTATGGTAAAAAAAGATTTTAAAAATTACGTTGAATATTTTGAGCTACAGATATCTTATCATAGTCGTGTAAGAAAATATCACAAACATTCTCTACGAATGTTTCACTTCGGTCATTTATATTCATTTGCTTTATACTTATCCTTGTTGTTACCATGCGAACTAATCTATTCAAAGGCAATAGTCTTATTCCTAGAAGTCTGGATATCGTAACAAAACAATATCGTTTTCAATCGAAAGAACCTTTAATAAAAGGACGGATAAATCTCAAAGATCTATCGTCGATTCATGTCAATCAAACATTAGAATCCACAGTTCAATGCGTTGGATCGCTTTACAACCAATCATGTCTCTTTCAGAATCTCTACTACGTCGATAGTACATTTACAATGCTAATCGTCAAAGGAAGATCTTTACCAACATGTTCCGTACGAACAAGTGCTTTCGATTTTTGGTCATTAACACCAAATAAACGTGAATTCGACACATATGCTGATCTTGAATTATTTGTTCGTCATGTGATCTTTCCTAAACGGTTTCCTTATGTTACAGTTTATTTTTCACAGCCATGGCACTTTAATATTGGTCATGCACTTTTCGATGGATTGTATCCAGCATATGTTGCAATGATACGATTTTCGCCTCGACACCTCCATCCATTTCGCATCTTAGCAGGTATTGATGATTGTAACGACTGTTGGAGTGAAGATGTCTATAGTCGTTTCGCTGGACTTGGCATCATTAAACAGAACGTTCTTAATAAACTGTCAAGAAATCGATGGTATGTTTTTGAAGAAATGATTATGGGTAGCGGAACTATGTGTCAACGCTGTAACCAACCAAATCTACAATTAGCTGGCGGTGTTGAATTAGATGCGTCGAGATTATTTCGTGATCGGATGTATCAACAACATGGATTCATTCCTTTGACTCGACGATATCAATCTTCGGCGGAACATCGAACGTCGCACGATGTTCTACAAGCTTATGTAATCGATAATAAACGTTTTACTCCAAACGATCGTGAAGCGATCAACGATGCAATTAAAGAAATTCATAACTACACTTATTCACATATGAACCAAGCACGAAAGCAGTTAAATGTTGATTTAGAATGGCCATTAATCAATGTGACATACATTTATTATCAGTTTATCAAAGCACAGAATATGAGTGCACTGTTAGTCAACGCAACTCTAATTGATTCTCGTTCGCCAACATATGAAATATTGGATAACAATTTTATGGCACAATTGAAACTTCTCCGTCAAATGGACATTCACATAACAGGTCCAGGAACAGGTCAGATGTATCAGACCTTCTTATCTGATGGATCTGTTTCAATTAATATTGGAGGTATAAGACCGCACGGGGTTCATGATACTTCCAAAGCATATACCTCATTCCTTGAACAACATATGACAAGTGGTGCGCCATATCTCAAAGGTCTCTACTATCCAATTAATGAACGACAGAAAGGTATAAGAAAAGAACAGATAGTCGAACTGATTCGTCAGGCTGGTAGGCTCATTTTACAAGGCTTTAGAATACCAGTGAATCCTCGAGAAAATCTAGCACCTGATGGTCAACTATTTATTGAAATGTGTGAACTTGATCGACAATTTTGTGAATTAGTTACAACAAGATCGCCAGACCATGAATATAGGTGTTTAGACTTATGGGTTGAAGATTTCGTACATGAAGATCAACAATGGAAACAGGGAGGATATATCGATAGTGGTCGTAGTATTAGTTGTCCGTTTAATCGAACGTTACTATATGAATTAAGAAAAAAATATGGTATTGAACATCACACAGGCAATTCATCAAAGTCTACACAATGACACCTCTCAATCGTTTGCTCTTTTGTGATGTTGATACGAACACTATTAATTTCCGGTAAAAGCGTCTCGGATAAAACGATTCTCCTGTTTACGAACATTAAATATTCGGGTGCTATGTATTACTATTTAGAGATCAAAGAAATAGATGGAACCATAGCTAGGCTTTTAAAATCTATTCATATCATACTCTCAACGATTGATTAGACGACAAGTACTTTTTTAAAAGGCAATTTATTCACAGTGTGATTTCTTGGAAAGGTTTGTCATGTGTTGAGAAAACGAAGTATGATTCCGCCTGCGCCGCTTTGAGAAATTTGCTTTTCTATTTGTCTAGTCGTTTTATGGGATCTACGACTAAAGTAAATATTTGGATACTTTTCATTTTATTCATCTTCAATTCTGTTATTAGTGTAAATATTTTTTAGCGCGATACATTAAGTAACAAAAACAAATGACTCAATGTGTAACGAATAATTTGTCAAGATTTTTATGTCTTTCTCGTTCAACAGAGTATGTCGATCCAACGAAAAAGGAAAGCAGTATTCATTTGAAAAGTTTACGACGAATGCTATAGGATTGATAACGAATCAATCGAAAGACCATTTCAGCGATTTCCATCAATGAGAGAAAACTAATACCAATCCAAAGACCAGTTTGACCACCGATGTTGGAAAGAACATCTACCTGACTAAGAGACGCTTGTTGTGTGTAGACTTCAACTTTAGTTGATTCAGTGACGACTTCTATACCAACATAGTTCCGGTCAATTTCTGCAATCCAATTTGTTGACCAATTTTTCGACAAACGAATGGAAGATGATTCAACAAAACTTTTTACTTCACCCATATACCATGATGATGGTGCTAAAGAAGAAGATAGTCGAACTACAAATTCATTTGTAGTACATTCAAGACCGCAGTTAAGTTCGAAAGTAGGAGAAGGGGGATTAGGACTTTGCATTTGAATTGCTGCTTCGGTATAACATGGATCAGATATATTACATAAAGGAGCTTGGATGATTCTATTAGTACCGAGAACAAGAATATAACGAAAAGCCCATTGAAGTGGATTAATACATCCACATTGTTGATACCTAGATAAATACCAAATGGAAATCTTGAAAAGATGATCAGTGATATACATACGTGTAAGTTTGCAGCGTAACTCGAAAGCATAATTCTTGTACATAGTCATATTTCACTCCAACGTACTGATCAAACACAATTTGTAATCTTTGTGCAGTTTCATCAGTACACATTGTGTAAGGTGTTGGTAAGAGCGTATTGGTTCTCTTACGATAGCTCATTCTATACTTTCGTCCAGGTGCTAATTTACTACCAATCATATCAATAACAGGCAGTTTTGTATTGTCATGTACGAGCGCTACTATACCTACATCTACGAAGGAAAACGATATGAATATCCATATTGAATGATTACATTCTTTTTACCGTCATTTACAAATGGAACATACTGATGGCTATGTGTGTACAATCCTAGTTCTAAGACACCGATTCCACCGTAGTCACCACACTGATGTATTGTGCCATTGTTGATATGATCTACTTTAGCATTAAAAGTATAACAGACACCGTATACAGGAGATACGAATTGAATGAAATCGTTTACAGAACAATTCATACCATTAAAGATGCATTTGATCAACATTGATTCGAGTGGATAGTAGAAATCAGTGACAGACTCATTTCGATTCAGTTTATAGATTAGAAAATCACGAATATAACGTGCTTGCTGGAAGGAAAATACCGTGGTATCATTTGTATGTGTTAAATTCAATGAGTTAGTATAATTTAAAAATGATCCAATGAATGAATCGTACACAAATGGAGAATTATTGCAGATAGTCACTGCCGGAAAGTTTTGTGGCCATTCGTCATAGAAACTCACCGATGTTTGTGTAGGATAATTGAAATAGGCGATAATCGATTGAACAACAAAGTATAACATAATACCGGNGAAGGAAAATACCGTGGTATCATTTGTATGTGTTAAATTCAATGAGTTAGTATAATTTAAAAATGATCCAATGAATGAATCGTACACAAATGGAGAATTATTGCAGATAGTCACTGCCGGAAAGTTTTGTGGCCATTCGTCATAGAAACTCACCGATGTTTGTGTAGGATAATTGAAATAGGCGATAATCGATTGAACAACAAAGTATAACATAATACCGGTGAAGATCAGAAATGAAACGCTCCAAAAGGCACGATTCAGTAGACTTTCACTTCGTGCAATACCCGGTATTCCGTGCATAGAAGTATTAAAACTAAACTCCTTGATAATCGAAGTATTGTTTCGACGCAGCTTTTGTGTCGACATCAGTAAATTTTCAGTATTTACGGGGAATACAGTTGCTATCTTATCAATTGTCGAATTCGACATTTCATTGGTGTTTTGATCAAATGGCATGACAGTTGTCATTCTTCAGTATTACACTCTTTACAGAAACGAACTATACATATGCATATATATATTCGCTTATTTTGTACTCATTTAAAGTACATAAAAATAGTGTCAAACAAAACGCCTACCTACTTTTATATGTGATCTCAATATTGTTTCAAGCATAAATACAAAATCATGACATAAGTTAACGAGCTTCCATACATATCTCAATTTGAATAAGTTAATTCATACAAGAGTACGAGATATTAATAATTTCTACGGTAGTATTAAAAATAACGAGTCTAGAGAAACTGTACTGTACCAGTCTGTCTTTAAGTATCATCTGTTGTTAATGAACTTGGTCACCTAAGCTACAACCCTAACAATATTAGATTGGCCTGAATTTCGTGCCTTGCGATTATGAAAAAGATTTAATGGAATAAAAGATAAACTGGTGCGTGCTTTGATTTAACGTAGGATAATATAATCACGCAATAAAACTTTAAGGCAAGAAATTTTTTCTTCGTATTTGATAAATATAAAAATAAATGTGCGTGTCTGTATCCATGCTCACTGATGCTGAAAATCCTGTTCGTTTGATATAATTACCGACGAGAAAAAATTGATGTTCCGAAGACTATTTCATTTTATATCGACGGATAGAATCATAGCCATTGATGTCATCATCATCATCATACATATTATTTTTAAACACTCTCGGAAATCAAATAGTTATCTATTTGGGTATATTTGTAGTAGTCGCAGGTATTCTGGGCGAATCTTTGAATATTATCGTATTTCTTAGCCTGCGAACATTTCGACAGAATTCGTGTGCATTTTATTTAACTATTATGTCCACGGTCAATATCTGTCAACTATTATCTAGTTTATTCAATCGCATCATCCCCATGAAACTCGATATTGATTGGTCAAAGACATCTGCATTCTATTGTAAATTTCGTTTCTATCTTTATCAAGTCAGTGCAATGACATCATTGACTTGTTTGTGTTTAGCCGTCATCGACCAATATTTAGCTACATGCGCATCACTGCACTGGCAGAGATGGGCTAATATTAGAGTGGCGCATCGATTAGTGGTAGTCATTATATTGATNAAGTTTAACCACATCTTTGTTTGTCTCACATAGGTCTATTTATGTTTCCGATAATTTTTTTCCAAAGTTTGTCCGGTGAATAAAAATATCACCATTCGATGCAGAATTAAATTCTGAATCGAATGGACCAGGTTTGATGGACCGGACAAACTCTGGAAAAAAGTTTTTAGCTTACACACAGTTTCTTCGTGCTAGCTCCTTCGTGCTAGCTTCACACTGATCTCATTGTGATACACCTACTATTGAACAAGTTGATTTGAACAATGTAACAACTGAAGTAACGAGTCTATATCAATCTGCAACACCAAATTCTTAACACTGACTCTGATTCATCAATTCCAGTAACGAGCGTTACTGATTCTGATTCCCAAGGTCTTTCCATGTGTAATGATAATGATACTATTGCTCAATGTCCTATAGAATCTGGTATATATTACTATGTTAAGTATCATCTATTAATTTTACTTCTATTTTGTAGATATTTCTATTATGAACAATGATGAAAATATTCCAAATTTATCTTCTACTACGTCTACTCCTGGACATAAAAAGTTCGAGATGAAGCGGAAGCCGATTATCTAAAATCTATTGCTAAACGACAAAAGCTATATGATAATGCTATTAAAGAACAAAAATATGAGTTAGGAGATCTTGTTGGTCTCCAAATTGATCGTGTTGATCGTACTAATACAACACCCAAGATTTTACCCTGTAAAGTGATCGCCATGGAGTCATCATCAAATGATTGTATGCTGTACAAGCTGTGTACAATGAAAGGTGTTCTAGCAATTTGATATGGTGTTCAAGATCTTTTAGATCTGAGAAGATGTGATTTTGCTGATTTACGTAGTATTGATCCAACAAATCTATCAATAATGGCATTTATGCAAACGTGTAAAGATTATGTATCAACGCGGGAACAATTGAAGTTGCAGAAACATGTAACTGTAGCGGTAAATGTGCCACAAAATCATGTCCGTGCAAAGCAAAAGATGTTAAATGTTGCACGAAATGTCATCCCAAAAAGAAGTGTCCATGTGCAAACGTTCAGTTATTTTTCTAAGTCATTTCTATTATTTCGTACTAGATTATAAAGTCTTGATACTATAGTTGTTAAAGATCAAACAGGTTTTCAACATAATAAAACATGAAGAAATAGATTTAAAGATAAACTTGTTTCTGCTAGGGGAATTTGAAATTCCCCTATATGGGAAATCAAAATTTTAGTTTCCCCTGTAACATATATATAGATAGTAGATAAGCTCAAATTGGACCGGATAATTCAGCATACAAGTTCAGTTTTCCAGGCAATACAAACTGAAGGAAATAATTTTCTCTCTTCTGATTTTCGTATCTTTCGATGTTAAATGTTATCTATTATTTGACTTCAAGTCAGAAATAGATAAGCAAATAGTTGAGAAAAAATACATTTACTTTTGCTGATAACGAAGCAAGTCATTCTATTTGTCTTCTATTTATGCAGTTTTCATTATCTACACAAATGCATTCTTATCTATTTGGAAGATAAAGAACATTAAACATTTGTCATAAATAAAAGGTACAAACTCATAATCTTCCCTTAGATTTCAAATTCTCTCGTACCAGACCGAAGCTTTTCACATGCATTTACTTTTCATGACTGTTCTTTTGGCGCTTAATGGTGCTAACGCATTTGTTAACAAGCAAAAAGTAAACACAACGGAACTGGTGAATTCCTTAATATGATGTGTTGTTGTCTTATTTTCGTAGGAACTCCGAGTTACAGCTTTCTCATGGCAAAACTGCGGACCAAGTAGCGATCCCGTTCAAGCTAAATCACTTTCAGTCAGTCCAGATCCAATTTTAGTACCTGGTACAAATACTTTATTGAGAAATATTGAAGTTTTTATATTTCTATTCTACAGGCAATCTGACTCTCGGTCTCACTGTTAATGTTGCATCGACAATTACAAACGATACTTATGTACGTAGAACTGAAATCTGAAAACAAAGTCCCAGTTCATCCGTTCATTTCAGGCTGCAGTGATCGTGGAACGAAAAGTGGGCGCCATCTTTGTTAAAGTTCCATGTGTTGATAACCTTGGCTCCTGCACTTATGAAGATGCCTGCAAAGATTGGGCTTCAGCTTGTCCGAAATACTTTGAAAAGTATGGTATTCCTTGCAGCTGCCCAATTCCTCCTAAGACTTATACCATATCCGATGCTGTTATCGACATCAACGGACATTTACCATCTGGAGGTGGCGGTGAATATCGAATAACTGCCAATCTTGGTTCGAGTAAAGGTCATCTTGGTTGTATTAAAGTTCAAATTACTCTTAAAAAGGATTAATACAAAGTGTAATTCTGTTCGAGAAAGTTTTTTTCATGTGTTTTTTTTTCGTTCTTATAAACAATAAAAAATGAATGATCCATTTTCATAGATAAATCTTATCTGACAGATTGACTTTGTGTCCTCCTCGCAGATCTACATACTTCAAAGTTAGTTACATATTTCTCAGTATAAAATAATATTTTTGCTATGCGCCTGCTATCCCCCATTTTTTCACTTCAATTTAACAGATATCAATATGCTTGTCTTCGAAGATACACATATCAAAGATTCCTATAATAAATTACTTTTCGCTCTCTCTTCGTTCTGTTTTATGTACAATCAGACACGTAGTCATGCTCATCCGACACCCACATATGTGCCAACCTCCATGTAAATACCATTGTCGAATCTGTATATTAGAAGCATTGTATTTTTCGTTTCATTTTCAAGCTCATCGTAAAGAAGAATAACAATATCAGACATTATTGATTCGCACAATGGTAAGTGTCTTTTGCTTATGCAATGACTTTTGATTGTATTTCGAAATAATTCAACAAACTATCGTTTAGTTTTACTTGACATTTGATTTATTCTTCAGCACGACTCGATATCTTCTTGAGAACATAGAAACGCTCAACACTAGCATTCTAGTCACTCTTACATAACNCGAAGCACTGGAGCAATTCGGAACTTGTCTCGAATCGATATGGCCATACGACGTTTCCAGAGTAAACACACGACCGAATAACGAAGCATATCAAGCAGCTAAACCACACACGATTTCTGAGGCACTCCAAGTCAGCATTGACTTACATGAAATGAAATCGTGTCTTGCACAAGGTTTTCCGTTTGTATTCGGTCTCCGTTTGTTCACATCATTTGATAAAGCAGCTAAGACAGGTGCGGTACCGATGCCGAGTGCAAGCGATCGTAGTCGTCAATCTGATGGCAGGTAGGTTAATTTCTTTACTAGAAACTCTGATGGAACTTTTTTTCTTATTTTCCGTTATAGTCATGCGTTAGTTGCCGTCGGTTATAGCGATCAGTCGCAGTCGTTCATTGTTCGAAATTCTTGGGGGACAGACTGGGTAAGGAAAGTTGTACACAAACAAATTGAATAAAACCTTTCGTTTAATATTCCACAGGGCGATCGTGGATACTGTTATATACCATACGATTATATGACAGATGCAGACCTTTGTTTTGATGCGTGGACAATTCGTAAAGTTCCTAACGACGATTTCGGTCAATCGCATTGGGATTACAATGACGAGGTTGATTATCAAAATAATAATAACAACTACGGCGACGACGACTATAGTAATGGAGATAACGGTGCAATTGAACAATTCGATGAAGATGATTTTGGAATAAACTTTTTCGATAACGCTGCACGTGGCTTTGATGGCGATTTGCGGAATAGAGATGACCCTTTTTATTACGGCGACGGCGGAGGAAACAATCAGCAGTGGGGCGGAGACGATCGTTCTAATTACAATGATGGTGGAACATATAATCAACAATGGAATGGAAGTGATCAGTTTACTTATAATGATCGAGGAGACTATGGTCAGCAATGGAATAGCGATGATCAATCTGAAAATCATCATAAACACGGTCACCATCATCACCATCACAGACACTAAACGAAACTCTGTGTACATATGTTTATGATGTCGTATGATATAGTTGTGAGCGTGAGAATAAATTAACCATAATCGTTGTCGTAAGCTTTGAAAACTCAGACAAGGTTGCTCAACGCATAGATTTCAACTTCGAGCTAAATCGAAACGAATAGGTAGTTAACAGTATTATAATACTATTTATTAGCTCTAGCCATGGAACTCAGTCATTTCTTGACGTCATTACGATCGCCGACGACTCGGTTTACATGCCGTGTAAGGATTTAAAAACTGATTTGGTACTCTCACGTGATAGTCTCTACACACTCCGCGACAGTTCTTTATGCAAAGCCCGCAGCGTATACAATCGCCCTGTCTCGAACTCTATTGTGGTTTCGATGGGTCGTATAAAAATAATCAGTTTGATTTATTAATCAGTACCCATGTGAAATTTTTTTGAGTGTAAACGCGTTTAAAACGCGTTTGGGATGCGTTTCAAATGCAAGACACAAACGCACCAAACGCGTTCGAAGAGATGGCTTTTTCCAAAAAAGCATTCTATTCCTACAGCTTTGACCTGCGTCACCATCATTCTCTCCTGATGTTCATCTCTTCCACCACGCTTCGACTAGGACATCTATTNCGTTCGGATGCGTTTATAGGATGCGTCTAGGCGCATTTCTTAGTCGTATCGCGTTCGAGCGCGTTTATAGAATCTGTCTGGCCGCGGTTCTTAGGTTCTACCGCGTTCAGATGCGTGTATAGGATGCGTCTGACCACGTTTGATAATTCTATCGCGTTCGGACGCGTTCATAGGATGCGTCTAGACGCGGCACTACACTATGTGAAACACCAAACGCGTCCGAACGCGTTTTTTCTGCGTTTCAGAGTTACATGGGTAGAAGATTTATTTTTGCTCAGTATATTCTTTTGTGTCGAAAATCTATCTTGCATACTTCTTATCTTAGTAATTTAAACAGGCTTTTGCAAATCAGTGGTACGCCACAAACATTTCAGCTACTTCAGAGAAATAACACACAGAGCTCAACGATCATTGAACCTGCATATTAAACCAGGGTGAATCCTAGTAGGATTTTCGAGGTAGTATGGCAGACATAAAACTATGAGACAACTTTGACTACACTCCCAGCTAAATGATTGTGCAAAAATGTATCAAACCCATAAATCTGTGAGACATCTGCTCATGCATTTACTTTTGTTCTAATCTTTCTCTCCTCACTCAGCTCACAACCAACATACAACATGTTTTCTAATAAAGTTTCTGCGATCTCTCATGTAATTTATCGCTCAACATGCTTCAACCTATCTTTCATTGTATTTTCTACTCTTTCAGTCACAATCTGATCAGCCTAATCCGCCACAAACAAATAATAGCCAATCAGAAATACGGTTAAGTATCAGACGAGTTGCGAAACGGGAGCAATGTCTTTCTCTTTTCCTTGTATTTAGTTGTGAATACTGTCGACGAAAATGGAAGAAGATTCTGTTGACGAGTCTGACAACAGCACTAATGATCACCATATGCGTTATCGTTTCAATAATTATGGCAAAGAAACATTCAGATCTATTGGTTACTGTACCAAGACGGAGAACAACGACAAGTGTTACGACAACAAGTGTTACGACAACAACCGCTACAACCACTACAACCATGTTCACGAAAGGTCTAAACATCCGTTCATTCTGTGCACACGTATTGTATAGTTACACCTTATTACGACAAAGGATCAGATTCCTCTGCGTAGAGTTCGTTCGAGAAGAATAATTCTTCGAATGAGCATCATTTGACAGTGTGAGATGTGTTTAGGATGGACAACGGCAGCAAAACTAAACATCAATCGGGATTGCCATACTGCAACTGTATTGCAAAATGGAAAGGTATTGGTCACTGGTGGATATAATTACGAAGGAGTTCTTCGTGAATGTGAACTATATGATCCATCGAGAGATCAATGGACACTCGTTGCAAACATGTCTGTCGCAAGGGAATATCATACCGCATCTTTGTTAACTAATGGCTTAGTCCTAGTGACTGGTGGTGAAGATTCTGATGGAGAGGTTTCGACTGCTGAACTGTATGATGCATCAGTGAATACGTGGACGAACACACGAAGCATGAGTCATCACCGATCTGGACACACAGCCACTGTGCTGCAGAGCGGAAAAGTGCTCGTTGCAGGTGGCAGGAACGAAGAAGGGCGAAATCTGGATACCGCTGAACTATACGATCCTCAGACAGGCGCTTGGACAGCTACTCAAAACATGAACTGCAGTCATGCATATCATCAAGCATCGTTGCTAACAAATGGAAAAGTACTAATCACTGGTGGACTCGGTTTTTGCTCCATAGGTATATCCTCAAAGACGAGTGAGTTGTATGATCCGAAAGCAGATGCATGGATCAGAATAAATGACATGAACATTGATCGCTATGAGCATACAGCAACTGTGCTTCAAGATGGAAGAGTGCTGGTAACTGGTGGACGTGGTCTAGCCGGAGGGATGCGGAACTCTACTGAATTGTTCGACCCATTGACGAATCAATGGAACACAACGCGTAGTATGAACACCCCACGCTATGGTCATTCGGCGACTTTGTTACCAAACGGAAAAGTCTTAGTCGTTGGAGGACTCCCGCGTCACTCTTTAGACAGTGTTGAACTGTACGATCCATCTACCGGCGCTTCGGCGATCACTGGCAACATGAAAAAACGTCGCTCTTCTCATACAGCATCCTTACTGACTAGTGGAGAAGTCTTGGTTGTTGGCGGATCTATCAGTTCTCGTGATGGAATTACAGAAATATACTAGTGCGATGTCACTAGAAGAAGTGTTCTGGTGAATAGTGCATGTAAAAGAAATGAGAAGTTCTATTTCTAAATAAAAATAAAAACTCGAGAAATACGATGAAAGTCGTTCGGTTTTTAGTTAATTTTAGAAAATGCAATTCTTCAGTCAGAAACTTGGAATTTACAGGTATTCATCGCGTTCACTTGTGTTTTCAGTCGTGCTCTTACTTTATACTGTAAACTTTGATCTCAAATAATGACTTCTGTTTGGTCGATACTCTAGGAAATGAAGTACAAATAAGCACGTCTAGTGGTTCCGAAACTCAAAATCAATGAGAAGATCAACATTGTCGAAGAAATCGCAGATGTCCGCATATAAACTTATGCCAAAGCATTCCATGCGAGTCAGAATCATCTGAGTTTATCGCATTAATAATCATCCTTTCGAGAAACTCTTCGGTGCGATAGTCACTCTTTCATTTCGCACACAACTTCTTTACAACAATGAGCATTTGGAGCAAATATCTGGATCCTATACTGCATAAATCTTCTCAATTTCGTCGACAAAACTCGCTGAGATCGTATTCACGAAAACACACACAGAAATATCTTTGTCATCATAACAACGAGCTCGTTCGAATGTCCAGCTGAAGTCATTCTTCCATAGTTATCACTTTTCGGATGCGGTTGCTTCAACGTCGCTTACGCTATAATTGGATCGTCAACTAATTTTTTTCAATCAGTGTGAAGCTAGCACGAAGGAGCTAGCACGAAGAAACTGTGTGTAAGCTAAAAACTTTTTTCCAGAGTTTGTCCGGTGAATAAAACCTAGTCCATTCGATTCAGAATTTAATTCTGC